TCGGTTGTATTGCTGACGCGTTTGCGAGCGGAAAGGACGAGTTTCCGCGTCGCGCCAGTTGTGTTGTGCACGCGTTGGCGAGCGGAAAGAACGAGTTTCCGCGTCGCCCGCGCGTGGTTGTAACTTGTCTAACGGTCTCGGTGTGCCAGTTCCAGAGTTGCGCTTTTGTCGCTCATGTGGGGAAGAGTCTGTCCTCTCTGACCCCTCCAACTCCTCCTCTTCGACCTGCTGCGCCCACGACTTCGTCTGCTCGTAACGTCGATAGAGAGTGCCCCGTCCGAGCTCTCGCCGTCGTTGATCGCGTTCGCTGGGTGCCTTTGGTCTTCGCAGTCATCGAGATGGAGCGAGGTGTGATGCTTTTCGCGACATCGGTGGCATCGATCCGTGCTGCTGCACATGTCGAGGCGGTGGAACGGCGAGAGGCAGTTTGGGCAATATTTATGCAGCAGGACTGCACGCAGCCTTGCTTCGACCGCTTTGCCGCGGTAAAGGGGGCATAGTCGAATGCCATGCGCTCCGCCGCATAGCCGGCATAGAACCGTGAATTTATCAGCGCGTTCTTCCGCATGTGCGCGATTAGCCGAGAAACGAGTCATTCTGTAAATGAGTCTCGTAGTCATGTCCGTAGGTGTAAAAAGTTACGTACTATTAGTTTTGGGTTGGGTGGCAAGTGGCGAATATATGTATGCCTGTATGTCTCGTGAAAGCACATTTTATATATACGTGTGATATACTTATGTACATATATATATATATATATATATATACTATTTGTTTATTTATTTAATTTGTTTTGACTTGCTGAAGAACAAAACTGGGCCAATTCAGACTTTCAGTCTCCGCGTACTTGTGCGGTATTAAGTATTTTTTATTTATTTATTTATTTGTTACAGTCTTGGGACTTAAAAGTACAGATAGGTATTTTTAATATATAACAAAGTATGCGTATATGTAAGTTTAAATTTTCAATTACAAAGCTGTTTATGTTTCTAAAACTATCAAATAACCTATATAAATGTATATTGTCTAACTAGTTTGGTAGCTGGCGAGGCCTAGTCTCCAGTCTACCTTTAAATATGTACTATGTGCAGCAGGCGGAAAGACCTTGTTTCCGCTCCGCGTTGCTCACGAGTTGATAGTCACGGTCGGAAAGGCCGAGTCTCCGATCCATGTTCCCGTCGTCATTAATATGCAAACCCTGACGCTGGATTCCGTGATGTGAGGCGGGCGGAAAGGTCTAGTTTCCGCTCCGCGTTATGGTCGGGCTGTTGGGCATAGTCGGAAGCTTTCGTATGCTAGATCATTTGCTGCTTGGTCGGATGGAAAGGCCTGGTTTCCATTCCGTTCCGTGCTCTCCTACCTAATAGCCAGAGTTTTACAGTGATCAAATAGTTGTCTTTTAAAAGCAACAAAGTTATCACAGTCTTTTACATGTGGCGGTAACTCATTAAAACACTTTAAACCTTTATAAAATATATTTTTTTTGTCTACCTCTGTTCTATAAAGTGGGAGTCTAAAGCAATTGTTTTCCCTGAGTATATATGAATGAGTTTCATTTATATACCGAAGATTGTCGCTCAGATAGTCTGGAAGTTTACCGTTCTTTATGTTGTATACGAATTTCATAGCATGATAGAAAACCTGTTGCTTAACACTCAACCAATTCATATCTGTGATCATCTCCTGTGTAGGTGTATCGTAACGCTTATTTAATATGAACCTCATAGCTCTATTTTGCATTTTTTGCAATTTCTCGATATTTGCGTCGCTTGCTAAGAAGAAGATTGTTGGGCAGTATATAAAATGTGGTTCTACTATAGATCTATAGACCAGGGTTTTATACCTTCTTCTCAGATACTTACAAGATCTTTTCATAAGACCAATTTTTTTCGCAATTTTGTTCACTGTATGCTCAACATGCTCATCAAATTTAAGTTTATTATCTATATATATACCCAGGTACTTAATGAGTTTAACTTCCTCAATTTCTTCCTCTTTGATTTTTAAATTGTAACTGGTGGTTCCAAGATTAACTGCTCTAGTGAGGATCATGAACTGTGTCTTTTTTACATTCAACTTAAGTTTATTTAAACACAACCATTTGTACAAAGAATCCAAGTCTTCTTGCATTTTAGTCATCGCAGTCTGTAAGTTTCTGTCACTGATCGTTAACAGTGTATCATCAGCGAACAGTTTTAACTTACAGTGCTTGAGTGCCATATTTATGTCGTTAATGTAAATATTAAAAAGTACTGGGGCCAATACCGATCCCTGCGGCAACCCAATATTGACTGCCACTTTATTTGACACACTTGACTCGATTACAGTTTGTTGCATACGATCTGAGAGAAAGCTTCGAAACCAGTTAAGCTCCGTGTTTTCAATACCAATGCATTCGAGCTTTTTCAACATTCTTGCCCTGTCAATGGTCTCGAAAGCTCTTTTGAGATCAATAAAAACCGCAACGATATTCATCTTCGAGTTAAGGTCTTCCTTCCACTGGGATATAACAAAATTTAGCGCAGTCTCGCAAGAGTGTTTAGCTCTAAAACCTGATTGCTCCTTAATGAGTATGTTATTACTTTCAATGTGGCGCGCCAACTGATTTTTTACCACATTTTCCAAGATTTTTTCCATGCTAGGCAGTGTATTAATTGGTCTAATTTCCTCGGCTTTTACAGTTTTTTTCACTTTTTTTACCGGAACTATGGTCGAGATTTTCCATTCTTTTGGTACTGTTCCTGATTCAAGACTCTTATTTATTAATAAGGCATAAAAGTGTCCCATGTATTCAACTGAATCCTTTATAACACCGTCAGATAATAAATTATTTCCACCAATTTTAGTCTTAAATTTCTTCACTATAAGGATAACATCCTCTGAGGTAATTTTCTCAAATTTAAAGGTGCCTCGACTGTCTTCCTGTCGTAACTGTTCACACTTTACGTTCTCTATATTACTATTTATGTCGACGATACTATCCACAAAGTACTTGTTTAGTTCTTCGGCGATTACCATACTATTTCTGTATATTTTTCCGTTGATGAGAACTTCTTTGATATTGTCTCTGTTTCCCGTATTATTAAGAATATTCTTTAAATATTTCCACATTAAACGACTATCACCTCTATTATTTTCTACCTTGTGTTCCATATACTGAATTTTCTTAATTTTGATCATTTTCTTATACTCTTTCTTTATTTTGTTGTAATCTACCCAATCACCTGTGAGTACTGCTCTTTGGTGTAACCTAAACTTTTCTTTATTAGTGTCAGTCAGTTGTCTATCATACCATTTATTTCTAAGTTTAACCCGCCTTTGTACCCGAGAAGTTAGTTGATTCATACTCGAAATCAAACAAAGGTTGATATGTTCGAGCATATCATCAATATTGAAACTATTCAGGTTTGCAAAGTGGCATTGTCTCAAAAGATTTATGAGGTTGTCTGGGCTGTACTCATCCCAAGAAATTAATTCAGAGAGTTTATTGATTTCGCCTTGTTTTTTTATATTGCATTTGAACATTATGGTTTCGTGATCCGTTATTCTATGTTCCTCAGCTTTTTCACATGAAACTTCATTAGTGTTAGAGTATAACAAGTCGATGCGCGTTTCGGACTGTGCAGTAACCCTGGTATCAAAGTTGATTAACTGTTTCATTGCCTGCTGAGAGAATATCTCATTAAGCTTCCTACTATATGTCGATGATATATTCATATTTATATTAAAATCCCCAATAATAATGGTATTTACCATGTTAGCGCATGTTTCGGACTAATGGTCTTACTCTTAAAAAATAAATAGACTTACAAAGCTCTACAAAGTGGCGTTTTTGTAAAAAAGCTTCAATTTAAAAAGCGGTTAAAGTCTTCTTTATTTTCTATGACTTTGAGCGTAAGGTTTCGTATTTGGGTTAAAACAGATCTGTGGAAGGTGACCATCGCTATAAGATTTTATTCCATTACATTTGTTGCCATTTGCTTTTGCATCGAACAGACCTTTATGTAGTACAAACTTTTCGATCACTATTTCCCCGAACACACCGTGAAATTTGTAATCTCGTAAAAGGTGTCATTTGTGGTTTTGTGGTGAGTTTCACCACTTGGCCTGGCACGGCGAAAGAAAATTTCCTCACTATGGGTTCGAGACCGGCCTAAGCCAGTAAATAGTACATCAGTGTTGCCAGGTCGAAACTAAGTGAGTATGAACAGTTTTTAATGCACATAGTTGCAGTTTGAGAACAAAAAAAAGACGATAAACCTGTGATTTTATTCCAATTAAAAATATTTTTGTTAAAGAAATGCGAATTTTTAAATTCGTACAAAAAAAAAAAAAAACGTAAAACTTTTTATTCTTACATACAGCATCAGAAGCTAGCATAAATGAAAAAAAATCCAAAGGCTTCCTGGTTCAGTTTATTAAAAATTTTTATTACATATTGACGATTTTTACATGCAAAAGGCGTTTTTTTTTAGAACCAAACTGACGCTTTCCCAATATAATCACCTGGCAACACTGTATAGCATGCACCACAAAATGAATTTTTTTTTCTCGCAGTTTATTGTCAAGTTGTGCACCTGACAACCAGATGGTGCTGCTTGCCCTACTCTTATGAAGGCTCGCAATTCGCCCAATCACATATGTCAAACGTTGAGCTAATACCGTATGTCAAAGTTTTGACACAGTAATAACTTCCTGAATGACTGAAAATTTCATTCTGGATTTGGCACGTGGTAAGTTTGTTGTGATTATTAAATTATTAGTGTTGTTCAATTCATTCATTTCATTTTCAGATTCGACAATTAAGCGTGGCTGTTGCCGGTATTCCACATTGGTCATTTCCGAGCAACAATTTCAATTTTGCAAATGATTTGTAAAAGTCGTGGCATTGGCGTATTGGGTAATGATGCACAGGAGACTGGCATACCTGCTGATATATGGCGTTTCTACCTTGCTTGTGCGCGTCCCGAAGGACAAGACTCCAGCTTTAGTTGGAATGACTTAGCGGCGCGTATTATGACAAATCCAAAGCATATAAATCGATTGGACCGATAACGCCGTTGGAGTTCTACGAAAATCATGTAAAACCAATATTTAATGTGGAACATAAGGTATGTTTAGTAAATGATCCACGCCCATCTAGTATGTACGATCAAACATACACAGTTGATTGCCTCGGCAATGTCGTGGGTGGTCGCCCAGTGCTTTACAATAATCAACAGGTCGAGAAATTACTGCAGTTGGTTGCTGCAAGCTTAAAAGCCGGTGAAGCCGTTTGGTTTGGTTGTGAAGTCAGTAAACGCTTTGCATCAAAGCAGGGCATAGAAGATTTGAGTGTACATGACTTCAAGTTAGTGTTTGATGTTGATATTCAGACACCATTGTCCAAGGCGGATCGCCTTATTTTCGGTGAATCAGCCATGACGCATGCCATGTTATTCACCGCCGTTTCTCTGGATGCAAATGGCGATGTTACTAAATTGCGCGTTGAAAATTCTTGGGATGAAGACCGTGGTGAAAAAGGTTATCTAGTTATGACTGCCGAATGGTTCAAGGAATTCGGTTTTGAAGTTGTGATCGACAAATCTTTTGTGCTGCCCGAAATTTTGCAAGTTTTCGATATGGATCCAATTGTGCTTCCAGCTTGGGACTGTTTTTCAAAGGGCGGTCCTGCGTAGTTTTTCAAATCTGAAAAACCTGAAAATGTACTGAATTTTCCCCAAGTGTCCTGCATTTGTCCCACATTTTATTCGTTATTTTAAAATTATCGGACAATGGATGGATTTTTTCAAAAAAGTGATTTTTGGTACTTTTCGTAGCTTTTCTTCAATATCTCATGAAAAAATCTCCCAATCAACGTAAGCAACTTACCACTCGAAGGGTATTGATGTGCCTCTTACTAAAATATATGACTTGTGGCGACTTCAATGAAAGTTATCATTACCATTTGCATTTTGTCGTCGCAGTCGAGGAAAGTGAGCTTTTCAATCAAATACGCAGATTCATTTGAATATTTTTTTTCCATTATTTTAAAAATTCGATACAGTAAATTTTGAGCCACAGAAATGTAGAAATGTAGATGCTATGGAGCGCAATCTGCACAAATTATATATTCCTGTAAAGGGAACTTTGTAACTCGTCGTTTACGTCGATTCTTGACGTCGATTTTTGACAAATAACTGCGAAAAGTACCAAAAAAACAAAAAAAATTTATTGTTTCCGTTTTGAACGACTCAACATTTGCCTATAAAATAATATTTTAAAGCTTTTCACTTTTCGTGTAAGCTATTGTAATTGTAATATGTCGTGCGATACTTTTATAAATATTCATGTGAAAAAAAGATTAATATCGATGAAGAAAACGTGATTCATTTTTAAAGTTTAAAATGTATTAAGAAATTAGAATCATAAATACTCTTTTGATATTTTTATGCTACGTTAATATATGTAGGCGTATTTTTGAAAAATTGTCCTTCATTTTGAATCCATATTTATGGTCACCGTATGTATAACACAAAATATCGTTGGAAGAGTGTATTGTTTATATGTATAATATTTAAATGTCCTCGGTGTGCACTCTCCGTTGATTAGCTACCACTTGCTTGTGTTTCCGTTTCTTCCACTATAAGCTTGGCATTTTATTTAACCAAAAAAAGCATACCAAGCTGCTTGGCAAATGTAATTCGTAACCGATTAGAAGAAATTTAAAACAAAAAAAAACACTTTATTTTGGAAATTTTAAAACAAAAACGAAAAACTGATTCTATGTTTTCCCTTTTAACTGCTGCTTATACCTGGGGCATACCGTTTACAGTGAATTCCACAAGTCATGTACTATAAAAGCTGGTTCTACATTAGATTTATTAGAAATCGGCTGTTGTAAAACTAGCGATCACGTTATAATTTTGTTTATGGAGTTTCAAAATGTTCAAATATGTATCAACTTAAACGGGGCACAGTTTACTAGCTGGGAATATTTTGTAAACAGACAATTCAGCCGTAAAAGTCTCTTCGGCTTTTTAATTTAAATTATTATATACAGAGAAATTGTTTTGTAATTTATATGGCAGTAACATTGATGATATTCTAGGAGAAGACTCCGATTATGACTATGGTCAACAATTGTCGGCGGAATTCATTGAGCGTTTAGGTTTTGTTGATTCCCCACAAGCATTACTTAATGGTGTACCTATGCAACAAAATTTATTATCCTCTGATAGTGAATTCGAAGAAGCGATATTTTCAGAAATTATTCAACAGGCTAGCATTTTTCAGAAAGCGGTATATAAAGGAGATTTAACAGACTCTGATTCTGTTATTGATTACTTAATGAATCAGGATCATGTAATGCCACGCTTGAATCAACGCATTCTTAGTAATGAAGCCTCTGAATTTCTCGATTTTTCTGGACATGAAAGCAAAGATTTAACGAACGTGCGGGGTCTGGGCCAACTCTCAAATCGAGATATGACGGCGACTCTTTTGACTAATTTAAAATATTTCATCGGTAAACATTCAACCAAAAATATTGGTAACGCTAAACTACACTTCCTAACTATTTGGGTTATTGCTGATATTGAACAAACCGAGGGTCGTGAGTTATTAATGCTCTGAGATTCGTTAGATCTGGAAGTAGTGTACGCGTAGGGTTTGTCCCAAATGCAGAAGGCTCCAATCTCTTAAATAAACACAATTTGAATCGTCTTGTTTGGGCTGCTGCACAAACTCTACCGCCACTGGAAGCTACAGTCTTGGTTTTGAAATGGCTCATGCACCCTAATTCAGCTCATGATATTCCAGATGCAGTCTCTTATGATCTTGTGAACTAAAGGAACATAAAGACTGCAGTGTAGATTTAAACTACCACATAGTTCATGAAACTTCATTTCTGGTTTTTGCTTTCGTTTGATAGGAACTGTAGAAAAAAATTAAGCAATTAAGCAGCAAATTAGAATATAGGAACAATTATCTTAACGTCGGTTGAATGAAAATATTCGAATTTATAGAAAACAGAATAAATTCGAATGTCGAGCAAAAACACTGATTTTTATTAATTTGAATCCCTGCAATACAATTTTTCGTGCATACGAAGTAGAGGGCTGCATGAATTCATTCAAAACGGCATATGAATTATTCATATAAAAAAAACCAATGATTGAGTTTACCTTCAAAAATTTGTTGAGTTTGAGTAAATACTGTTCTGATATGGGTGTCGTCATAACAAGCCTATGTATACTTATATGTATGTATATGGCATATATAAATATGTGTCTTATGTTATTGTGTTTAAATAGGAGTTTGTTATTATGCTATAAAAACTCTGGGTGACGGAATCAGAAGATGCTTTTATATTACTCAAGTATTCATGTTTTTGAGATGCGCTCTTGAAATTATTCATAGCGATAATTCTGTTGCTGGAATATTTGGTGTTTGAGAATGCTGAACTCTGAAACGCCATTGACATTTGAGATGTGGGATTTCGTAGGGAGTAAGAAGTGGAATAGGTGGGTTTTGTGAAGTGGAATACAGAGTAGGTAGGAAGTTTACTGCGAGGTGGTGCTATTTTCGTTGTAGGGCGGAAGTAGGACCAATTTTGCAATTGGCCTTCTGATTTCTCCCTTAGCTGTTTCGATGTCGACTACTCTTACTCGGTTGTCGGAACCTGGGTGTAGCTTGACTATTCTGCCCAATCTCCATTCGTTTGGTGGCAGGTTTTCTTCTTTAACAACGACCAGGTCCCCTTGTTTTAAGTTGGTTTGTGGATGTTTCCACTTGATGCGTTTCTGCATCTCGGTGAGGTATTCCAATTTCCATCTCCTACAGAATGTCTGGTGTAGGGCCTTCAGTTTCTGCCATCGATTTACGATTGAGGCTGGACTTTCATTTACATCGATTTCGGGTGGGGCAAGAAGATGCCCGCCGACCAGAAAATGACCGGGGGTAAGCGGCTCCAGGTCAGACGGTTCGTTTGAAGAGGGGCTTAGTGGTCGTGAGTTGAGACAAGACTCAATACGGCATAAGAGTGTGGTGAACTCTTCAAAAGTATATTTGTGGTCGGACGCGACCTTTTTAAAGTGGGTTTTGAAACTTTTCACCCCAGCTTCCCACAAACCGCCCATGTGAGGGGCCGCAGCGGGTATGAAATGCCACTCTAAGGCTTGATGGCTGTACTTAGTGAGGGTGCTATTGCGTGCCTCAGCTAAAAATGCTTTGAATTCCGATCGTAAAGATCGTGAGGCTCCGACAAAGTTAGTACCATTGTCGGAGTAAACGTTTTTTGGACATCCTCGTCTAGCAACGAATCTTGCGAAAGCGGCTAGAAAGGACGCGGTGCTAAGGTCGCTGGTAGCTTCAAGGTGAATGGCTTTCGTCGAGAAACAGACGAAGAGACAGACATAGCCTTTTGACATGCGACATCCTCTGCCCCGGTAGGACTTGATGTCGAACGGGCCCGCGAAATCCACCCCCGTGTTTGTGAATGCACGGGAAAAGGTTGTGCGTTCTTTGGGAAGGATTCCCATAAGTTGAGTTTGCGACCGTTTCTTGTGGATCGTGCAGACCTTGCAGTTATGTATGACGGACCGTATCAAGTTTTTCACTCTGGGAATCCAATACTGCGATCGGATAAGTCGCAGCATCAGCTGGTTTTCTCCGTGCACGGAAATTTTATGGATAAACTGGACCAAGAGACGGGACATCCTACAACCATACGGAAGAATGATAGGATGACGTTCATTGTAGGACAGATCGCTAGATGCGCTCAGACGACCACCAGCCCTCAGAATCTCATCTTTGTCGATGAACGGGTTAAGAGGCAGGATTTCACTTTTTCCGTCGATGGATTTTCCAGATTTTAACCTTGTATATTCTTCGCTGTAATATTGTTTTTGACAAATCGTTATTAAGCGTTGGGTCGTTGTTTTAATTTCGTTTGCCGAAATTGAACGAGACTCCGCTTTAAAGGAATATTTCGTTTTGGGATTGATTCTTTGATAGAATCTCATAATATACGATATAACCCTCAAAGCCCGTGATAAATCAGAAAATCGATCGAGAATGTCGTGAAAGTCTTTTACTTTTGTTGTTGCATGAACATGCACCCTTTTTTCTTCAATGGTTGTGTCAAAGTCCGATTCTTGTGCTGGCCATCTCGAATAGTCTTCTTGTAACCAAGAAGGACCCTGCCACCACAAGGAGTTGTTGACTAGATCACTCGCCGAAAGTCCTCTACTCGCCAGATCTGCTGGGTTTGATGCCGAATCCACATGACGCCAGTTTTCGGTTCCCACCTTGTCTACAATTTTTGTTATTCGGTGAGCAACGAAAGTTGACCACGAACACGGTGGTTTCCGGATCCATGCGAGGACTATTGTCGAATCTGTCCAGAGATTTATTTTCAAATGTCCAAGACTCAGATTTTCGACGACCGCTTCTACGGTTTCCGAAAGCAAAACTGCGCCGCAAAGTTCTAAACGGGGTAACGATACTGTTTTGACGGGCGCTACCTTTGTTTTTGCCATTAGAAGGCTGACCACAACTTTTTCCGCAGTCTTAACTCTCAAGAAAACAGTCGCCGCGTATGCTTTCTCCGAAGCGTCGCTGAATCCATGTATTTCGGCGTCATCTGTTTGCGTAAAGTGAACCCATCTTGGTATGCGAATGGTATTAATGTCCATGTAGTCGTGCATAAATG